GAACCAATCAGACCCTAAATGAAATTAGCTTTTACTAAACAAAATACTTAATTCCTTTTTATGCTACTTGCTGTTGCTCAGTGTATTTCCAAACTGAATTGCTCTATCAAGTCTAGTGATCATGGACAAAAACCAATCAAAACTGATCAAGTTGACTGAGTTTCTGAACTACTTCCTAGTCTCCATTTGTGCTGGACACAGGCTTTGCGAAAACTTCATTGATGTCAATGGTGCAATCAGATTTGTTTAATGTATCACAGGGTTTAGTGTAGAAAAATAAAAGAGAATAGAAATATACATTCCCTTAGAGTGAGGTTGTTAAACATAAAGCATCAGGAGAGTGATCAGTTTGAGCAGGAGTCACTCTGGCTATCCCCATCACAAACAAATCACTGAGGAGACAATCATATGTAAAATTTTCCAGCCATTTTGCAAAGCAATTTAAATCAGTACATGGAAATATTCAATCTGTTTCTCAGACTGCAATGAGAAAGTAGTTGGAGATTAGGGGAGGAAATATTAGTGTGATGTTTAGAGAATGTGTCTAGTAGGCTTAGCTTTATCATTTTATCAGGTTACCAAAATAGCCCACAGTTCTTTGCTCCTGACAGATTAATTATGAGGTAAAGCATGTATGCAGCTAAATAAAAGGTATCGTCATTAATTCCAAGAGCAAGGTAGGGAAGTGGGTAATGTTAAAAATATACAAGCTAATCAAAATGTTTTTCATACATTTATATGGTGAAAGACAGTGGAGCTTTGCATAATAGTCACCAAATTGAATTACATTTAGAAGTATATGGCATATATGGAGAAATCCACCTAAACCACCTCCTGGATAACACAGAACAGCATTTCTTCTTTCTCTGTAGAAAACCCAGGCCAGGATTCCACTTAGTGAGGAGGGACTGAACATAAAACCTCAGAAACTTTCCAAAGCCCTGAAGAGAATAAGTGTCTAAATAAGTATCTGTCTCAGGCATTCCATTTTCCTAAGTTAATCCTCAACCTAAATAAGGGATATATTTACCAGTGGGATATAAGACCATAGTGTCAGTAGGATTTAAGTACTGCAAATGTAAAATTCTGCTGGGCTGCCAAAACTTAAGCCATAAAGTTCTCCTGATGAACAGTTATATTCTGCAGAGTTAATCAGAGAAAGAAGGACTAGAGGGGATATGAAGAGGTCATTCAGGGCATCCTCCAACCCCAAGGATCAGATGTACATAAATCAGTAGATATCTCTCCACTCTGTTTTTAAGAGCCTCCAGGCTGGAGTTTTACACCCTTCTTAAGCAGTATGTTCCAGATTTTTCCTATCTTGGAAGACAGAAAGTGTTTCCCAATCCATAATTGGTTTGTCTTGCTGCAATTCAAATCATTGTGCTTCATATATTCGACATTTTGTACATGGAAAACAATTTAATTTCCTTCTTTGCAGGATGGTGCAAAGTCAGGTTGTCTGACAGATAAGAAGTGCTATCTGAGAGCAAATTATTTGTGCTCCCATATATGAACTTATTCTCATTGACACTACAGTGACCTTACTTGTTAAGGCCTTCTTGGAACAACTGCCTACCCCTGATTTTTGGAACTAATAGCACATTATACCACAGACAAAATTCATAAACGAAACCTATCTCCCTTCAGAGCAGTTACATATTATGTATATATATTTATATTAGGAATAGTAGAGGACTTAAGAGGAATTATAGCCAGTTTTAATACATCAGTTTGAAATAAGAGCAATTAACACACCAGTCTATAAATTAATGGCTTATTTATCACATTAATATTCCTTGTTCAGAAAAGCATGCCTCCTTGTCTCCTTGTGAAAACTTCATCTCCCAGTTTGTGCATAGTCAAGCAACACTTGCATTGTGCTGTTTACAGAACCAGGAGAAAGTGGACAACAAAGTAGTGTGTAGTGATCAGTATTCCACTCCTTGAAACTTAGTCCTGAATTTCTGAGCTTCAAAACTTTTACATTATTGTAGCTAAATGTTGATCTTTATTTTTCACCCCCCACCATACAGCTTTCCAAACTGCTCCATTTCCAGATTTCCTGTTAATGACTCAGCCAGAGTGCTGGTAGCTTTTAAATGACTGATTTGGGCTCAGTGTTTTTTCTAGGATCAGGCCTGAACACAAGGTGCCTCTGTCAGTCAGGGTTGCTATCAGGAAATTCTCTGCTCTTTTGTGTTGCTGCCCTTTAACATACATGAAAATGCTTGCTGCAGCTGCTGAAATTGGCCTGCTGTCATTTTGTTTAAATGACATTTGAAAAATAGATTATCATGAAAGATTAGTATAAGCTCCTTACCTTTCTTCCTTAAAGAACACCCACTTTTGAAGCAGTTTACAAAGATTAGTCAGTTTTCAGTAATAAGCTTTTAACTTTTTTCCCTACTTGGTTGCTTAGTCTTCACTGTATGGGGTTCTATTTGGTTCTTGTGCAATACAGATTACACAAGCACACCTCATTTATCTGTACTGATTCGCAGGTTTCTTCTCTACAGCTGAGCTCATTTTCTTGATCCCTAAAGAACCCCGCATAATTTGTCAATAAATTCCTTTAAAGTTTTATTTTATTTAAAACCATATCAAAATCTGTCCATATTTAACCTGCCTAAAAATATTTAAATCTGGTAGAGGAATGTTCTGTAGGTTTTCAGTTGTTATAGTACGGGAGAAAGGCAAAGCAACTAACTGATCTGGAAAAATTCACCACTGCTCATTCAACATTCACACGTAAGAAAAAATGGGAGCTCTTTAACCACTTCACAGGGTTCATTGGGCTAAAAAACCATTTATATTTTAAAGGAATATCAGAAAACAATTTAAGAAATTTATCAGTATGAGCTCCAGAAAGTTCCCTGATGTACATAATAATGCTTTGTACTTGTTTTGTAAAGTCACAAAGCTCCTCTTTTCCCTCCACTGAAGGGAAAATATTAGCTATTATTATTTACAGAATGAATCCTGAAAAGGTTGGCAACTGTGCAAAGTGGGAGATTTTGGAGCATCTTCCTCAGCCTGGCTGCATTTATAAACTTAGATCAATTTTTGCTGAAGTTCCATAAGAATTCGTTACCAATTAAAAAGCATTATTCCACATCCGTATCCATATTCCAATCACATGAATTGTCACTGAATCTTTCATCAAAGATTCTGTAACACTCCAAAGACACAGGTTTAAGTGCTTGCATTGATTTGATTTACTTGTTTGTAGTTTCTCTGATGTTAGACATGCTATGATCTGTACTTTCTGCAGTATTGGTCAGGAGAGATGTAGCATCTCCATCGGATGGATAGAAGAGACATTGGTCAAACCCTGAAAATCATTAGCAGCAGCAAAGCAATAAGGGACATGGGTTCAACTTACGAGAGTCTTGCACGTGGAGTAAAGGTCATTAAAGTACAGAAGTCATGAAAGAAATACTATGAACCTTCTAATTTAATACCTTTATTTTAATCTGAAGGGCTAGCAAGTTGCTTAGCTCCAAGGCAGTAGGTAGAGATAGTGGTAGCTGGCACCATCCCAAAACACTGCCAGGGAAGAAAAATCCAATCATAGGATCTTTCCTGACTCCTATTGCCCAAGTGAGGGGAGGAAGAGTCTCTCCAGAGAGCTGACACCATCTCAGCATCTTATTTTCCATTCTAAGCCAGCTCAGGGACTAGTTGACACACTGAGGAGAGCAGTGAAAGTGTGAGGAGTGACAAACACCTCCCTTCAGCTTTCTTGCAGACTGAGGAGACTCAGACCCTACGGACAGCACCAGGCCAGCACTGTCACCTAGATAAACAGTGGTACCTGCTGTGGTACATCAGAGCTATTTATCCAAGAAGCTGGAAACTGCTTTTGCATAGCTTTGAGGCCCAAGCCATGACCTCTGCATTGCTCTGAGATGGGAAATATGCCTAGAATCATATCCCTCCCCAGTAAGGCATCCTGATCGTCACAACTGACTCAGCTGCTTTCACAGCCCAGGAAGTCTGAAACCACTTCAGTGTAAAAGGTTGCTCTTCTCAGAGATGTGACTTTCAGGCTTGAGTGTCATCTTCCATTTGAAAAACTTTTCAAATCTAACACTAGTTCTTGACATAAGAATTCTCTCCTGAATCCCTGCTCTTTGATTACTGGAGCCAGACACAAAGGTGCTTTCCCAGCTGGATAACTGTTGAATGCTTGTTTTGCTTTACAAATGTCATGCATTCTTTTATAAAGCCCCATTTGCTAAATTTAGCTGATCAATTGCATGTTTTTAATACTAAAAGTACATGAAATGGGTTTCCCAGTATGAGTTTTTCATTTGGGCAGCCTCTTTAGGGAAATTATTTGGTTGTGAACAGAAAAGGAAGTATTCATAAAATAACCTCTTTGGGTTTGCATCATTTTTATGAATGCCTGTCATATGGGAAGTAACCACCATTAACTTCAGGTTTCAAAAGTTTGTACTAACTTAGTAATCTAGATATATGTGGATGATGATGTTTAGGAGCTGCCAGAGAATGTATTAGAAGTTATAAGGTAGTGACTGGACACACTCCTTCCAAGCAGCCTGGGAGCAGTTAGATCTTTTTCTTCAAAAATGACATTCAAAAGCTCTTGGAAGAAGGTACAACCTTATTCCATGTGTGCATTGTGCCACAGCTTGGACAACAGAGGTTTGACCTTTCATTGGGATCAATAGATATTAGTGCAACAGACATGTACATAAAAATAGAAAAAGCAGTCTTTGTGTTTAAATTCTACATTACTTTTGTGCTCCTTTAGCTTTCAGATGGTAGAAAGTATTCCTTTTTAGCTCTACAAATAACAAAAATAACATTACCAACAGCCCAAAACTGAAAGCAACACATTAAAGATTTTTAATAAAGCATTAAAGGTTTTTAATGAACAGATTCTAACAATGATCTGATGGAACATTTACTCTTCCTAAAGACAGAGAAACCAGTTATCTCAGATATTGTCTCTGCTTGTTTCTTCTGGACAGGATCTCTGTTTTCAGCTCTGAAGCCTCCTGAAACAATCTTCAAGGTGATTTTTTGGCTTGGCTACTTTAACAGCTGCTTGAATCCAATCATCTACCCTTGCTCAAGCAAAGAGTTCAAGAGGGCTTTTATACAGATCCTAAAATGCCAGTGCCATCGTCGAAAGCAGTTGGGGTGGTGGGCCTACAGCTACAGAAACTGGAACCGGTGCTCCTTTGAACACCCCAGGAAAGACTCTCTGGAAGACAGTGGGAGTTTCCTGAGTGGCAGCCAGAGGACATTATCTTCAGCATCTCCCAGTCCTGGCTACCTGAGCAAAATCACCCACCCACATATGGAGATGTGCACATTCCAGGAATGGAAAAATTCCAGCTCTTTCCTGAGCCCCTTACAGGAAGGCAGCAGACAAAAGGACCCATGCCAGTTCTTTACCTTCAATCTCTTAGCAGAGCGCAATGGATATGTTCCTGCTGGCAGCCAAGCTTCCAGCAATGGGGACCATGAGGCCATCTGTGACACACTGAACGGCAAAACTGACTGTAGAGCAAACCTGCCACTGGAATGAACAGATTCTAAATGGTGTGTTCTCTTTGTACACTAACCCGTTTGACATTAAGCCCAGGTGAAGAAATGGACCTTTGCACATTTTCTCAGTATGGCACTCGAAGGAAGCCAGTGAGGAGCAGGGAGATTTATGTCACAAGAGCAGCAATGTGTAGGGGTTAACCATCTTTCCAGTCAGTTGCTAGAGGGACTACCAAAGCAAAAGCAGAATGCAGGGAAGGTGCCACATAAACCCAGGGAAATGCTCATCCAATTCTTTAGCTGTCATGGAAGTGCTGTGGAACAGCCAAACATATCTGTATATAGAAAGAATGTATAAATATGGGGGTGGGCAGGGAAAATGGGTAGGAATGTGTGGTGTACATGTGTGCTAGCCGCATGGATGGGTATCTGGGAGCAGAAGTGAGCAATGCAGTGAGTGTTGTTTGTACCTCTGCAGGGTACTGCGTATCGCTGCTTTTGCCTGTCATTTCTTATTGTTGTTGTACTTCACTGTACATTAGCACTTTAGAAATGGAAAACAATGTCAAAGATTAAAGTAATTTCGCAGCAATTTCAACACTTGCACCTATTACTGTAAGACTGGAATTCAGCCAAGTTGCCACATCACGATTTTCACTTCAAAATAAAACACTCATAGGGGTTAAGTTTGCCATTGGAACTCCTAGGATATTCTCAAATATCTCTGCAATTAACTTCCTTCTATGATTCCCTTATCACCAATGTATGTAACTCCTCTATTCTTCACCATGTTCTTCTTGGAAAGTCTGAAAATACCAGCATGAGAAGAGCTCATAATCTACATTTCAGCACATTAGTAAGTATCCTGCAAGCACACAGGCTACCAGAGAATCTGATTTCTAAAAGCAACACTTATAAATCACTCCAAATACCTCATAAACAGTGTTGTGGACACAGCACAAAAGAGCAGTGACCGCTGGAGGCCCAAACCCAGCCTTGGACAGATACACTGAGCCCCTGGTTCTTTCAGCACACTGTGAAAATAGTATTGCACATATGGAGGCTTTTACTTTGCCACTCAGATAAGAAGAGAAAAAGTCAAAACAATCAAGTGGTATAAATTTCACTGGCATTAGTATTTATCAGCTCAATAATAATGTAACAGAATTTCTAAGAATATCTTCTAGGACAATTTTAGGTCATGTTTGGAAGTTATCTATCTCTTGCAATTAAGTGTGAATCATGAAGCTAAGGACTGATTTTTTTACATGAAGTGGTACAAACCATGAAAATTGATATTTACTCCTTCCTCCAATCGAGACTTTCCTTATTAGGAATTTTAGTGACCTTTTTCTAAAGCTTGAAACGGAGAATGAACCATAAACAGATGTACTGAAAGCACTTAGGGACAATTTAACAATGCTAGGTCCCAAAGGAGAGCCATTTCCTTTTTTTTCCTTAAATGTGCATTCTCTCATTGATGGGGATGGATGTGGCTTGTGGTTAGATGAAATATCCCTCAGCTCAGCAAGCAATGATAGCAAAGTCATGTTCCAAGGTCTTCCCATGGTCCTATGTTATAGTAAGGCCTACATAAATATATTTCAAGTGTTATCCTGATCAAAGTTATGGCCAATCTTCTATTTTAATAATTCCATTTTGATTGTGGGGAAGGCTGTAATTTCCTCTTAAAAGGACAATGCTTATAAAATTTTAAAGAGTTATAAAACAGATAAACTCTTGTTGCTCATACATTGAGGTTGTCATAAAGAATATTCTATTTAGTTGTGATATACTACCATGAAGCTATCCTCTTTGGGCCTCTAAATGACAGAGAACTGTGTTTCTAACCTATTATTCTAATTTTTTGGAGGGAATCGACAGTGTCTGCCTAGCACTTCTGGGTTTTGTAAAGCTTCTTCAACATTACTGTTAACTGGGAATAAATTTGTTTCATCTAAGCACTTTACAGCACACTTCAGCTGCATTTTGAGTAAGACGCGACTTGTAAAGTAAATCAAAGTAGTGTTATCCATATTGGAGAATGTCCAAGTGATACTGCAAGGTTTCAGAATAAAGTGCATTCCGTCTGTAGCTTTCAGAGACTGATAGTTCTTTTAATTAGTTTCTAGTCCTGAGAAAGGCTGTGTGAGCTCTGAGTAGCATTTAAGCTCCTTAAACAATTACATAATTCTCTAATTACCTAAGAAATCAGATAGGCTTTTATCCCATACTGAAGTGACCTGTGAGTACTTATCATCTTTGTAGTTTTTTACATTTAATGTCACAAAAATTGCAAGGAAAGCTCCTTACTGTTTGGGTTTGGATTTTTTTTTTTTTGTTTTTTATTTGTTTTGTATTTTTTAATCTCTAAAAGAAAATTTTGGCAATTTGAGTACCGAGAAAGCAGCTTTCTCTAAACACTTTAATTGATCAGGAGACATATGCATTAACATCATGTTAGTCCCTGCCATTTAGACTATCCATCATATCATATATCAAAATCCTCAGAAAACCAAAAACCCCAAGACTCATGTCCTATAAGCCTTAAAGAGTAGCGAAGGCATTCCACAGGCAGTCAGTAACATTTTTCCCCAGGAGTTACATTGCTCTTCTGTAAGTTCAAGCTGGAAGGCTGCTGGGCTCTGCAGGAACAGCAGCATGAACTCATCCACCCCTGTTAACTTGCTTTCTTTTCCAGCTAGTCACACCACTGCTGCGCCTGCTCTTCCCATGTCCTACCTGGTGTGGGAGGCACAGCCTAACTGCATGCAGAATGTGTGGCTCAGGAGCCACAGGGTCTCTACCCTGCAGTGCTTCCCTTCATCAAGTCCAAGTTCTGCAAGTATGTTAAGGGCAGCCTCCCTGAGGACATGACTAGGTCATGCTGCCTTGCCAAAAATCCAGGAAACTAAGTGAAGCTCTACTTTGGCCTTTCTGATACAAGGGAAAACAAGAGGAAAAAAGTTTATTCACCATGTTGAAAATGGAAACAAGAAGCTGGAAATAATCACAGGCAATTAAAACAAATATACTCTGACATTTCTAAAACATCAGGCACATTTTTATTCTTTAGGCCACATCCTAAAGGATCATCTCATATAATCCCTAGCATCAGGCAGATGAAGAAAAACTGTAAGCTCCAGCACAGCAACCAATGATAACAGAAAGAAGTGAGAACAAGTTCAGACAATACCTGCTGCATACTGCAGATATAAATTTAACAAACTGTGTCTCACTGTTAATCACCACCCAACTAAATTTTAAGACTGGAGATGTGATGAATATTAGATGAAAGGATTCCTAATATTTCTCCAGAATACATTTCACCAAGCTTTTTTCTGGCTCATGTACACATCATGCCACACCAGACTCTCCATACCCATGCATGATACTCCATGACTTCCCAAAAACAAGTAGATGATTGCTTTTCTTCTAAACTCTTTACTTTTTGCCTCATGAATTCCCATTATTACAGGGTCTCATACAGCCTGTTCTTATACTCAACAACACAGTGGGGTCTCATCCATGCAAATATGTTAAACTCTGCAAGACTTCAAAACAGCCATGTCACATCTGCTCATAAGTTGCCACCACCACCTACTTCACCTCCAGCTACAGCTTCTATAAAGATACAGGCAATAAAACTGATTGTAAGAATGGAAAAAAAACCAAAACAAAACCACAAACCCGAAACAAAGGAGGGACCACAAAGTTTACGAAGAAGAAAGTCTGATATGCCACCTAAAAATATGAAAACCTTGCAAGGCCACTTGACTTCTCTAGAACAAATCTATTGTAAATATCTACTGGAATCTTCTATGACCTCCACTAGGCAAAGCTGGCCCAAACGAGGCCATACAAATCACCCTCTTCCCTTTGTCAGTCCTTCATTTGTTGCAATGTTTTCCTTTAAAGGAAAAACTATTTGGGTCAGGGCATCATCATCAAACCTTGTGGGACAAGCCCATATTAGCCCACTTTTTTTAGTACAGTCAAAATTAATTTGACAAGCAGAACATCCAGAATCTAGTGAAATGGCAACTGGAACACAATGGGGGTCTATCAGACGCAACTATACTCCATCATGCATATTTTTAATGCGTATTAACAGACCTTCTGAAGAACCCATTTTGTGGGCAAATAGATTTGCCTCCAAAGAGGAGTTGCTGCCATTTAGCACAGAAGGTGTTCATAAAACACTGTGAATTTCTCCAGGTTAAGCTACTGGGGTGGTGCTTAATCACTAACTAGGGGCTTGTACAAAGCCTTTCAGCTGAGAAGCACAGCTGTAATGGCTCAGAGAGTATTGTTACAGTCCAGCTACACATAAATTAAACCCATTAGGCTTCAATGCACTCAGCTATCACAGAAGTGCTTCTTATTTTTGAAGTGAGATATGGTAAAATCAATCCAACTGAATGAGACTGAAACTCTAGAGCATTCTACATTCTTTACTCTTTGGAAATGCAGTTTTCTATTATCTTTCCAGTGTGACAGGGAGAGGAGAGGGAGCATTAGTATTATAAAGTGCATTTCTAGTTTGGAAAATGTTAAAATAGCAACTTTCCATTCAACAGATGTGCTCTTTGCTCTCAGTTTCTGTGCTTGACTTTCACCTGATATAAATGAGCACAAAAATTACACGATGCAGATGATAATACACAGCAGCTATGGTAGGAAAGTATCAGTATACTAACAACTGCTTATTCCTGTTAGCAGCCACAAACTAACCAGGTCATTCCCACCAGAATAAACTAGATTCTGTTTTGATCACTCAGCAGAAATGCTTACCTTTGTTCCAAACCATGCTGGCAGTGCTCCGGCTCACGCACTTCATAAGGCAGAACATAGCATTGCAGGAGTGATGCATCAGACAAAGAAACACCATTTCCAGCCTGAAGCAATCAAAAAAAAGTACTTCAGAACATGAAGACACATGGTGCTAATTTAAATCTCCTTAATGGAACCAAAAACTGTTTGACCCACTATGATTTTTGGGACATAAGGGATAGTAACTCCCTTCCTCACTGAGCATGT